ATCCTTTTGTATCTCCCACGCTCCTCCAGCGAGCTAAGAAAATGTTTTTCTCCCTGAGCCTGGCCTTCATAATTCTATTCCATCACAGTCTGTGAACTGGAGAAGGAATGGCGCAAACAGCTTGGAGAATGGCATGAGTGGCCTTGGGAAGAAGGCCTGGTGCAGCCAGCAGCTGTCCTGCATACTGTAGGGTGAGGCTGGGTGTGCCTCATCAGCAGGGGGAGGAAAACAGCGAAGGTCAGCTGGGTGCGGCAGAGCCTGTGGAGTGCAGGGTGGTGGGGCAACTGGGGCTTTGCGCAGTGGTGAGGCGGCATTTTTCAATGGCAGTGGTGGGGCTGGGACTGAAGTAGAGGCCGGGGGCGGTGGCAGCTGGCTGAGACTGCTGAAGGCCCCGGGCCCCTACTTCAGCCCCAGCCCCAGTGCTGCCACTGCCGAATGCTGCTGTGCAGGGTGGCCAAAAGAGCATAGATGGGGGAGGAGATGGGGGGGGGAGTTGCAGCGCCCCTGCAGTGGTAAGCGCTGCTAGGCCAGGCTGGGGTGGCTGAGGCTTCCTGCAGCACGGCAGCTTTGTGCCATGCTGCTGGGCCAGGCTGTGGTGGCTGTGGCTTTGCACCACGCTGCAGCACGCCCCCAACTCACACGCGGCCTGCGCTGGGCCTCCCAGGGCCTCCCATAACCCTCCTGTGGCACCCCCACACTTGCTACCTGGGACTTCCTCCACTTAATGACCTGCAATTCCCAGTTAATGACAGCAACCAGGAGTGCCAGGACTGTGGTCTCTAAGCGATGGGGTCATGTGACATCTCTGCATCGCTTAGCAATGGAAATTCTGGTTCCCAGCCGTGATCGTTAAGTGAAGGCTATCTGTATATTTTTAAGCCTGAGAATCTGAGTAACAATATCATCCTTCCTTTACCTCAGTGTTGTCCAAACTTGGCCACTTTAAGATGAGTGGACTTCAACTCCCAGAATTCCCCAGCCTCATCTTAAAGTGGCCAAGTTTGGACAACACTGCTTTACCTCTTATAATATATTTTAACCTCATCCCACCATTTTAATCCAAAGACAGCATCCAAGTTCATGATTCTATTTTAGTATCTTGATAAAAACAAGTGTTCCACTGTTTATTGCTACGATTCTGCACAATGTATAAGATGGCATTCCCACTGTTTTCTTCATTTGCCTCAGGGTATAACTGGGTCCTGTGCAGTTCCTATGTAAGGATTTTCAATTATCGATGGAAATTCATTTAAGATGCCAACTGTTAAAGCAGAACTCTCTGCTTGCTCCCACCATCCCTCTAAAAATTAAGCCTCTGCTTTTTCCAATTAAATTCAGCAGCAGCAATTCGTTAGCATGTATTATTCCAGCTTTGGAATCCCAAAGCTACCAAGCCAGCAAATTAGAAGGTCCAAATGCCTTTCTGATGCCTATTTCAAACAGTCAGTTTAATGGCTGGATAAGTGCCTCTCTCCTCTGGAAATGGTTAGGAACATTGTCTCATTGTTTTCATGGATTGGCTATTAGAAGCCTGTGTAGCTCAGTGATAGAACTTTAGTTCTATCATTTATAGGTAGGGCTGGAATAATGTCTTTCTGAAACCTTGCTCTGCTGCTGCTCCTCGTAGTTCTAAGTATCTGGTGAAATGGACTGATGGAAGTATGAATAGCCTTGACAGTTAAGATGGAAGTGCTGCAGTGGGTGAGACCACTTTTTCCCCCTAGTTTGTTTTGAGAATCTAGAAGGCTTTCTTTGGGCTCAGCTGCATGTCCCACTAACTGTACCTTGAAAATTCCTCACTAACCATTTCTTATGGACATGTCCTCATAACTCAGCTTTCATCACATTTCCAAGCCATAGTTGGGGTTAATGTAGTATTTCCCATCTTCTCCCAACATAGCCCTTGCTCTATCCATGATTGTGACACTTGGTAGTGACATGGTGAAGACATGGCTGGGGCTGGGATTTGGTCAGCTCCTACTGGCCAACCTTGGCTGTGGTGGATATGCCCCCTTCTCTCCAGTTGAGGGGGCATGGCCATTTTATGTTGGGCAGCACGAGAGATCAGACACTAGGCATCTGATTATACATTTGCAGACTCTCTAACTACACAATAAGATAAATGGCCCCACCAACAGGCAGTGTTCAGTATTCAGTATTCAGCAATGGCTGAAGGTGTCATCTACCTACCAGTGCCTGTCAACAGTCTTTGGGCAGCTATTTTTCTTTTTAACAAAGCAAGAGAATAAGTGTGAGAAAATAATACAACAAGAAAAGCATGAGTGATCGAGCAGGCAGATAAAGCAGATAACTGAGCAAATGATACAGCCAGTGATGAAGCATAGGATGGGGCTGACAGGATGCCCTCCTGTTCAACCTCCTAAGACCCTCTTCTAACAATTGTTGATGGGGGGAGATCAAGGATTAAATGGAATGGCCTCCTGAATAGGGAAATTTCCAGCTGGTTAGCCTCAGAAGAATGCAATACGTTAAAAGAAGGTGTTGTGCAGAGTGCCACAGGGAGGCCGAGACTTCAAGAGCATATGGCACCTTAATCCATGGCCTTCAGGCCTTTTTGGTCAGGGCTAACAGTAAATCCCTACAAAACTATCCTTCATCTCAAAGGTGGTTTGACTCATTGAATTAGGACTAAGAGGACATGAGCTAAGATATTCACTGATCATAAAAAGAATCCATCAGTGAGCTGAGCTTGTTTGTGACTGTCTCTATTGTTGTGCATACACTATCATAATAAAGCTCCTTTTTCTTGAAGTTCTGCAAAGTTTCAAGATAGCCTGTTTTTCCATTGGTGGGAACTCTTGCTTCACCCATCTCCAGCCTCCATTGGTAAGAACTCTCCTTTCTTCTGCCATAAAATTCAACCTCCAAATTTTAGGGTGGTAGTTTAGTAGATAATCATGACCATTGCCTTGGAGGACTGAAGAGCAGAAATACTAGTGGTATGGAAGTGCCCTCTGATTCACAACAGTCCTTTAACTTTTCTTTATCTGCCACTTCCCGGATGGGTGAGTGTTACAACTCCCAAAATTTCCATGCAGCATAACTGATACTAAGAACCAGTTCTTAGAGTTGTTAGTTGTTGTTGTTTGTTAGATTTATGTCTTGCCACAGCAAGAACCCTATGAGGTAGGTTGGACTGAGTGAATGAGACTGGCCAACGTCACCCAGTGAGTTTCCACTGACTATGTCTCCTCAGTCCTAATCTAACCCTTAACCATTACATCACACTGATCCTCAGCAGATGTCCCAGCAGAGATGTCCCTGCATATTTGGGAGGTACAGATTGGGGAACACTGATGTAAAGACTCTGGATTTCTCAGCACTATCTGGACATGATGAGGACTCTGCAAAAAAGAACTAGAATACTTCCCTTGAGAGAAAGGCTATGACAGAGCTAGAGAAGTTTCAGAGAACAGCCTGTGTATGTATAAAAAATAATGAGCAACTGAAGAACTGGAGGTTTCTCCTTATTGCCATCACTCGGCAGCTCATTAAGCATTTCCTCATTGGGGTGAGCGACTGCCGGATGTAGGGCACTGTTTGAGGTCTTACATGAAAAGAAACATGCACACACGGATGAGTACTTATATAGATAAAGTTTCCTCTTATAAACAGATCAGCTTCCTCCGTTCTCTGCTGACGCAGATATGGTCGGGGGAGGGCAGAAGTTGGCAAGAATATTTATTAGTCCCATGCTAAGCAGCCAGGATGGATAGGACTTCTTTAGGAAGGGGTGCCAGCTCCATGAGCAGGTCTTTCTGAGACCATCAACAATTGTCCTAGACGGTAAGTGATGGCATCAGGAGACTCAAGGTGTGGCTTGTGGTATCTTAAGTGGCACCTACTTTGAGATTTGGGGAAGAAAGTTCTTAGCTTTGATTGTAAACTTAAAGCTGAGATAAAAAGGGAGTGGGGAGTGAGGAAGATAGTGAGAAGGTGGTGCTGGTTGTGTGTAGAGTAAGAGGATGAGGGTGCAGTTCAGGACAAGGCTCCCAAAGGCACAAAAGGAAGAAACTGAACTCTGATGCAAGGCAAACTTCCCCACACCTGGAATCCAGAAGTGCTGAATTTCAGTTCCCAGAACTCCAACTGTTATGGCTGGGGGTGATCACGTCGTAGTCCCAACCTAGAGGGCATTAGCTGGGGAGGGCTATCGTCAGCTCTGTAATCCAGATTTTTCCCTTCCTTTTCAGCCATAGCAGGCTATGCCTTGGGTTTTAGAATGGTCAGCTTTGCAGGCTTAAGACATACTCGGTGCTGTACCATTTACCTCATGGAATGAGAAGCAAAATTAGAAGCCTAAATTTTACTGTTAATTTCCCCCTTCCCAATTCCTAAGGTGTTGAGAAGTTCCAAGGGGCAACCCTACTGGATTGGTTTTCTCTGGAGAAGAACAAGAGGATTAGACATGTAGGACTGTTTTTGTAATATTTGCTTTGTCTATAAATCCACATGCGGTGTGTAAGTAGAAACAGTGGGAAATTCTTACTAGGCAGCACAACCTCAATTCTTAGAATAAATACCCTGGCCAGATTTCCCTAGATTAAGCCAGGCTTCTGCTGACCATATGGATCACTAGATATATTAGATTCTCAGACTCCCATATTTTAAAAAGTAAATTTCTACCCAGAGCTAAGCAACTTGATGACTTACAGCTGCTTTGGTTACAATCCCCATAACTCAACCACTGTCCTTGCTGGTTGTGGGTTTGGGGCGCTGTAGTCAAGACCATCTGAAAACCAGGTTGCCTTATGTTGCTTTAGCCCCATCCTATATTAGCACCCCAGCAAAAGCTTCACCATGCTACAGTGTGTTAGTGCCAGCCAGCACACAGATCACTTACTGCCCCAGCTTCCAGTATCCATTTTTTCCCACCCATTCATGCTCAGCATTCTTACCTCTGTCTTAATCCTGTGGGTGAATTGTTCAGTTAGAACTAGCCACTGGCTGGTTTCACTCAACACATGAATCCCTCACCGTAGGTTAAGAAAATATTGCAATGTTCATGTAACATGCAACATCTAGTATGGCTTAATGTGAAGTTAATGTGAAGGCATGATTCACAGAGCATGCTGAAGCAAAGGATGAAATCCCACAGCATCTGCAACTGCCTTGTCCCATTCTAGCTTAATCTAGAATGTTGGGCAAACCCAGTCACTGTGATTGATATTGGAAATATTGACATCTGTTGGTCCAGGCTCTCCTCAGGGATCATTTTATAATAGACACAGAGAAACAACTTGATGCCTTCAAAAGGTTTTGGGCTTTGAACCCCATTGACCCCAACCAACTTGGCATGGGATTGTAAGCATCTGCAGTTAAGAAACATTTGGAAGACCCTAACCTTCCTAACCCAGAAATAAACTGGTTGCTTAATCTTGAGGCAGAGCCCTTCTCATCTGTTTATAAGCTTCTAACCCTCTTTTTCTGTAGCTGTGATGTAGGTGTATGAAACTAAAACTGAATTGGGACTGATGTAGGAAAAAACATCCCTTAGATCTCAACTGTGCTGATGCATAAAGAGCTAGGTTCAGTTTAACAGAATGTTTTTTTCAAGAAAAGGCAGTATAGAAATACTATACTGCTTGATAATATCTTAAGAGTGATGGACAGATGAACATATATAGTATTATTTTCTTTCTGTTCTCTATTTCTTCTATCATGGGACTTTAGGCCATGTAAAGTGGTTTCTTATTCAGACCTAGACTTTATTTTAGGTTGTTCCTTCATATGTTGTCCTGAGGCAACTTTTGGCCTTCCAGATATTGTTTGAATTTTAACTCCCAACAGCTGTGTCCAGCTTGGCCCATGGTGAGAGATGACAATAGTTTCTCAAGTTGTCCTGTCTTGCTCTGGTTGGTGCCCTAGCTTAACAGCATTATCCCCACTAATTAGCTGCTTATCCCCCCAATAAGGTGGTTATATTTTTGTTTAGATTGTACTGTTTTGATTTTAACATTAATGCAAGCAGGAAATTCTTTGTACTTACTTGTAAAGGCACAAGGATGGTCAAAAAAAGGAAAAATAACTTTTTATTTTTATTGATCATGCTATGACTCAGATTTCAGCTAAATGTTTGCTACCACTGCAAATCGCAGATGCAGAAGATGGGCACTTCTGTTTTGGTGAGGGCAAAGGATTAAATCTATCCCCCATCACCTGGGTCCCACAAACACTGCATAAGTACAAACACTCCAGGGTGAAGTCCATGTGACAAAAATGGTGTCCACTTTGGACATTAAGAGAGCAGGGGATCTTACCCAACCCTTGTTGCAGGGTTTATCAAGAGACTGCAACTTTCAGCTGAAACCACAAACAGGAAGCAAACTTCTCAATGTCTTGAATGCTGCTTGTGATAAGGACATTGCTTGTCATCCTTTGATACGTTGAATGCAGCTCGTGTTCAGGGCCAGACCTCTAAAGCCAGTTATAAATCTACTTCAAAGCATTTTTATCCAAACAGCCCCATTGGGATCTGAATTGTGTTTTGGATTATAACCCCTGTTACTCCCAGCCTCTCTGGGATTTGTAGCCAAGAAATCTGGATACCCACAAGTTGGGGCAGATTAGTCTAAATCAGCAAAACCCATACTGAGGTTTATAGGAGAGGACAGACTTATTTACTAATTATTAACTAATTACTATTACAAATAGTAAAGCTGACTCTAAAAAAGATCAGAGTTAATCCAGAAGGAGGAATGGTGGACCAACAAAATCTCTTGATACAGTCTGTCACACTAAGTCTACTAAGCAGTGAAAACTCATTATTTAGATTTAGTTTCTCTTGGAGGAAAGAGCACTGGGGACTTACATCATCTTGGTTATATTTGCTTGGCTTATTTGCTCTCTGTGTGGCAGTAAATCCTTGTAGAGGTTCACTTCAGATCCCCAGAGAAAGATTAGAGGTGCTATGAAGGAATTTAGATTCTTTCCCCTCCTTGGATGGTACCTATTGTTTCACTGTTTCAGAGGTGATAAACTAGGTTTGCTGCCTGAGGTGTCTCCTTCTCAATTTCTTGCATGGGGCTTTGAAGTCTCCTTGAGCACATTGCAGGTTGGATACCAAAGTGACTTTCCATGAACACAGCTCTTTTTCTACTCCTGACAGTTCCAAATATGAATTGGTTCTCTTCCCTCTTTCTTTGGTACACAGATTCCAGATTGAGGATGTGTGACCTTACTAGTCTGAGCACTTGGTTCAAAGACACAGCCAATTATTGCTTGCTGATTAACTAGTTATTCTTGTCAGGAGTTTCTCATGGGAAGAAATTCATCCCGTTATCTGTACAACAATATTATG